TTAAAGTAACAATTAAACTTCCTGTCGTGCATTTTTTCTTTTGTCTAAAGTCATAATTACGATTTCACTCGAAATCGCGTTGCACACTCGTTTGATTTTAAATCTCGCGCATTTTGCTTCTCCTTTTCCAAAGACCACGTAATTCGCGCGCGCCGTTTTTTTTAACTCTCTACTCAGTGATTGGAGATTTGGTGAACCGCACGAGACCAACGCCGCCTGGTAAAACACGGTCTCTCTTGTCTGATGTATTACATAAAAGTTTTGGTCCAATGAATTTTTGTATTTTTGAAAAAGCTCAAAAAATTGATGCCGTCAAAATAAAAATAGTTCAGAAAATAGAAGGAATTTTAAACCAATTCTCGTAATTTGCGATCCAGTAGCTCCTAGGCAAAGTCAGAGTGAGCCGAGGTTTTGCGTTTTTGCGTGTTTTGTTTGTTTGTTTTTCTTTTCTTTTCTTTCTTTTTTTTTTTTTTGCGTTCGCGTGGCTCGCTCACTTTCGCTCGCGTTTGCTCGAGTACAACTTGGATCCTCGTGTTTGCACAAAGAACTCTGGGATCGTCAGGGGCAAATATTGCAAGTTGGTAGAAGGAAATGTTTAGCGAAACGGTTGTTTCGAGGTACAAAAAACGATTTTGGAGAGTGATCCACGATTTTTCGTCGTCGTTTTATCGCACATGGATCTGGGCAATGTTGATAAGTGGAATATGTAATTATACTGCAAAACAGTCGTATTTTCTGCGAACGCGAGCGACGGTCATTAATCGAACGAAAGGTCTAAAAGTGTAAAAACGGCGAGGGAGAACGTGTGACGCTTGCGCGCTTCACACGCGAGGATCGCGCTTACGGCGCTTCGCGCGTTCCGAAAACGTCCGAAAGCGACTGTTTTGCAGTCTAATATGTTTGAATAACCATGAAATATGTGATAAAATCTACCGATAAACTCCGTTGCTTTCGTGAGGTTTATTGTGAAATGTACATCGCGCAATGGGTTTTCCTTTTCTACAACAGATCAAGGGTGGCTATTTGAGTATATCTCGGAATATTTGTATTTAAAAATGCCATTTGTCCGAGATTATGCTTTTCAAATTTTTCAAAACGGTTAAAATTGCGTGAAAAAGGGAGGAAGTTTATTGTGGATTTCTGTTTTAGAGCTTATTTTCTTCCATTATATTTAATTTCTAAGAGAGTCTTTTCTACCATTTTCTCGAGTAGCCTCTCAAGATCAGACGTGTTTTGAAATTTTCAATATCCTTTTCATAAATTTCACAATAAACCTCACGCGAGCAAGGGAGTTTATCGGTAAATTTTATCACGTTACATATTTCACGGTTATTCAAACAAAAACTGACATTTTCTATGTAGCAACATTGCCTGAATACATTTGCGATAAAGCAACGGCGAAAAATCATTGATCTCTTCCCAAAACCGATTTTTTGGAGTCGAAACAACTTTTCGCTCTACATTTCTGCAATGTTTGCCTACTGACGATCTCAGAGTTCTTTGCGCACAACTCGGCAACTCATTCATTCTGATTGGTCGAGAAATTTGAACAGTAAGGCGCGGCTGCTAAGCGAGGTAAACATGGCGGATAGTTTGTGAAGTTTTCGGATATTTAGTCATCGCTGATTTTCCAAACACTGAGAATTAGGGAAATGACTAGCAAGGCTTTTGGACCAAATTCATTTTTAAAGTTATGGTTTAACTTCTCAAGGCATTTTAAGCAGTGGTTTGATAGAGTGCCCGAGAACTTGCGTCAGATCAGATGGCGCGCGGGAGAACCGAGGAGCTCTGTAACAGTCTGGATCTCTTGACGATAGGCTCATATAAGCTTAAATTGCTCATGAATTTACCAACGATCACAAAAAGGTACCTGATGAGTTTTTTTTTTTCTCATTTTGCGGTCTTAATTGAAGTGTAAACTAACCTGCCTGCAATAGCTAGATGATTATCGCACTAACTTGAGAACCTGAGTGATATACGGACTAACCGGAGAACTGTATATAGGCCTTCATGGATAGGGGCTAAAAGTACTCACGAGTGACTATGAGTGAGATTACATCGAAAAAATTATTAATTATTGCAATAATTAATGAAAGTCCGTGACCTTTCATTAATAATTGAAAGGCCGCGGGCCTTTCAGTATGCCCGTGCCCTTTCATTAATTATTGCAATCGTAATTTCAAATTGCCCTTACCCTGCACCTATCTGATTTTCAAATCACTCACCTGATTACTCCTAGAACTGTATTCCACTCGGTCAAATTACTATGATAATGAAATAGTTTAAGCTGAAATCGTTTGCCGAAATACATCTGATTCAGTAATAACAGGTAGAAAATTGGGACATTTTTCTTTTTATCCACATTCTGGATAAGGATGGCAAGTTTTTGCAGCTGGGGCTCAGATTTTTTTCCCATTTGATTATTCCACCTTGGTATTTTTGGTAACGTAAAAAGTGTCAACAAAATATTAAGGGGCTGGATTTCTTCCATCTTTAGGGGATACAGTACAATGTACATGTATCTTCAGGTTTTCCATTGTCACTATTTTGTAATGCCTTTCACTTTAGAATCAAATGTACGTAAAAGTTATGCTTGCTGATGTAGGTAGCTTATACTATTAATAACAATATCAAGACATGATTAGACAAGTGTGATAGTTCTTCCATCAACATTCTTTGCAATTATCTCTGCTACAGGTCTCCAGTCAGGAGAAAATGTTGGAGAGTAAGGTGCCTCAAGGCATCAAGGGGTCGCTTGGCTTATCATCCATCAGCATGGACATAAGAGGTATTTTCTTGAATGTATAACTGAAACCATCAGGCCACCCATAAAATGTTTTTTTTTTTTCGTATTTTCTTCCCTGTCATGAAAGTGGGTTGGTTGGTCAGGCCAAAATACAAATTAAATTATTATTTAAAACAAAAAAACAAGAAAAGGAAAATTGACTGAGGGGTCTGAGTCAGTTACACAGTGCTGTTTNATCAAAATTTTTACCGAAAGATATTTCTTCTGAAAAACTCAGGATCGACGTTGAGACAGCCTTCATTCGGTCTGGGAATTCCGAAAAAATGTACAATTTTTCTTTGACACTTCAACGGTTCCAAATTTAATGGAAAGAGATCGGAATTTTTTCGTTCAAAGATCGAAAGTTATAAAGGGGAGAAAGTGTCAAAAGTCAAGGGTCAAGCAAATGACGTAACAATGGCGCTAATTAATTGGAACAATTACATTATGTAATTAACAAATTAAGTAAGCACAATTACGCGCTCGCACGCTTAAGCGCGCAGGGACACGGTTACAGGCACGCGCAAAGAGGGAAAAAACGTACACACTTTGCTTAGCAAGAGTTCGCACAAACACTGAGCGCAAGGATGTTTTTGATCCGTGCCCTTGCACTTAAGTCAGATCTCTTGTGGACGAAGCCGACCACAAAGCTTGGAAGAGAGATCGCTTGCCGTTATGTTTTCGCTGATGTCAGAGTCGCAAGGGAAAAAACCGTCCTTAGATAAGCGCAGTGCGGCAGAGATACAATTACACCAGAATTCACGATTCTCGGAATTTCGTTAGAATCTTCGCCGCTAGAACAAAGCTCTCGCGCGCCCAAATTAAACTGGCGTCAACCGTAATGGTTTTGCATATCCCTTCATTCTTACATCCATTTTGAAATCACTGGTGATCCTTGCAATCTGATTAGCTCTCAGCAGCTGAATTTATTCCCGAATTAATCACACTTTTTTTTTTGTCTTCTGAATCGTATGTTTTTTTTCTGTGCCTTGCATACAAAATGAGAAGTAAAAAACCAAACCAACCCCTGGATCAATAAAATGTAAGAACTGACCGAAATCAAGGGACTATTTTAAGCGATTAAATTGTCCGATTTCAAAATGGATGTAATAAATTTAAGGGCAATTGAACTTCGTGTCGTGCATTTTTTTTAATCAAAATCATAATTACGATTTCACTCGAAATCATTGCACACGCGTTTGATTTTAAATCTCGCGTATTTCGTTTCTCCTTTTGCAAACAGCACGAAATTCGTAACCGCCGTTGTTTTTTTTTTAACTCTCTACTGAGTGATTGGAGATTTGGTTAACCGCGCGCGACCAACACCGCCTGATAAAACACGTTTTCTCTTGTCTGATGTATTACATAAAAGTTTTGGTCCATCAAATTTTTCTGTATTAAAAAAATGTCGAAAAATTGATGCCGTCAGAATGAAAATAGTTCACAAAAGAGAAGGAATTTTAAACCAATTATCCTAATTTGGGATTCAATAGCTCCTAGGTAGAGTCAGAGTGAACCGAGCGTTTTGCGTTTTTGCCTGTTGTTTTGTTTTTTGTTTTTTCGTTTTTGTTTTTTTGTTTTGCGTTCGCGTGGCTCGCTCACGTTCGCTCGCGTTTCCTCGCGTGCTACTTGGATAGCCGTGTTTGCGCAAAGAACCCTGGATCGTCAGGGGGCAGATATTTTAAGTTGATAGAAGGACATGTTTAGCGAAAAATTGTTTCGAGGTACAGAAAACTATTTTGGAGAGAGATCGACGCATTTTCGCCGTCGTTTTATCGCAAACGGTTTTGGGCAATGTTGATATGTGGAATATGTTAGTTTTTGTTTGAATAACTGATGAAATATGTGATAAAATCTACCGATAAACTCCGTTGCTTTCGTGAGGTTTATTGTGAAATGTATATCGCGTAATAGATTTTCCTTTTCTATAACAGATCAAGGGTGGCTCCTTGAGTATACCTCGGAGTATTTGTATTTAAAAATGCTATTTGTCCGAAATAATGCTTTTCAAATTTTGGTAATGACGGTTAAAATTGCGTGAGAAAGGTAGAAGTTTATTGTGCATTCTCGATTTCTGTTTTAGAGATTCTTTTCTGCCTTTTTATTTAAATTCTTAGAGGGTCGTTTCTACCATTTGCTCTGGGTAGCTTCTCGAGATCAGGCGTGCTTTGAATTTTTTTAATATTCTCCTCATAAATTTCGCAATAAACCTCACGCGAGGAAGGGAGTTTATAAACAGAGTATCGATTTTAGCCATTTTGATCATTAACAGGATCTGGTTTTTACACTTTAGTCTTGAAGCGGGCATTATTTTTAGAAGAAGCTAGTTTTTCATCATTATTGATAAGACCGATCAACAAAAGCGCTTCACAATGCCTTTAACATCGGTCTAAACGAGGAAACTAAGTATAAGGCAGGTCTAAAACAGGTATTGATCAGGTCATAAATAGGGGAATCGCCGATTTTGTGTCATAGATAAGGTAAGGGTTTTGGGAAGCGGGCCGCAAACCCCGACCCAATTGTTCTCGAATTCTCACCCCCGTCCCCGCCCCCGGGATATTTCTGCAATGTTTGCTCCCTAACGATCCCAGAGTTCTTTGCGCATAACACGGGTATTCGATTACTGATTCATTCTGATTGGTCGAGAAATCTGAACAGTAAGGCGCGGCTGATAAGCGAGGTAAACATGGCGGATGGTTTGCTCCCAGGAGTGAAGTTTTCGAATATTTAGTCATCGCCTCAGTCAAGTGTGGGATTTTCCAAACACTGAGAATTAGGGAAATGACTAGCAAGGCTTTTGGACCAAATTCGTTTTTCAAGTTATGGTTTAACTTCTCAAGGCATTTCAAGCAGTGGTTTCATAGAGTGCCGGACAACTTGCGTCAGATCAGATGGCGCGCGGGAGAGCCGAGGAGCTCTGTAACAGTCTGGATCTCTTGACGATAGGCTCATATAAGCTTAAATTACTCATGAATTTACCAACGATCACGACAAGGTACCTGACGAGTTTTTTTTCTCATTTTGCGGCCTTAATTGAAGAGTACACTAACCTGTCTGCAATAGCTAGATGATTATCGAACTAACCTGAGCGCTGTTCAGGTTAACCTGAGTGATATTCGGGCTAACTGGAGAACTATATATAGGCTTTCATGGATTTCTTCGGGAAAAAAAAATATGTCAGTGATGTTATTACGACGTCATTATGAAGTCATTGTATGGTCATTTCATCAAGATAATGACATATGCACCAAACTGAGGTATTTATTTTGTAACTCCTAATTAACCGCAGGTCCACATCAGCTTAGGCTGCCTATATACCGACCTGCGTAAACAAATAAATGATGTATGTATGTATGTATGTACGATAATGACATATGCGCCGAACGGAGGCTATTTAATGGTGTAGTAATCGAAGATAACAGCAGTGGCTGTGCGTTCCTTTACAAATATTGGCTGTCGAGCTTATGTTCTTTCATGCTTATCATGTAACCTTTTTCATCTGTGAAAGTGAAGAAAAATCTGAGTGATTTTATGAAATGAAGTGAGGCTCAAAACTTCAGGTTTGCGGTAGATATCATTTTCTGAACATCCGCCGAGCTACAAATATTCATGCTCAGTTACTTGTTGTCAAAAATCACAGCGCCAAACTGCAGCTAGCGCTTTGCAGAATTCATATGTTCTTCCTTCGGATCTAACTCATGATTGTGTGCATGCACTCATGATCTGTCCTTTGCCCCTGCTGTAGTACAGGGGGAAAAATTGGTGAACACGTTTGTCCCAAAAAAATTTGAATGCACTAGGCTAGGATTGCATAACACCACGTGAACGAAGCTAGTTTAACTTGAACACGTCCGATAATTTTTAGCGACTCGATTTAGAAGAGGTGCATCTCTCTGTTTTCTCCCTACTCTTTTGAAGATGTTCAGAATTGTGACATATGGACAATAGATTGCAGACTGCATATCATGAAAATGAAAGGGAAACCCAAAATATGAAAATAAATTAAAAAATAAAAATTTTGTGAGTTGCAGCTCGGTAAATAGCTATGATTTGTTGTAAGAAGACAAACTTTCTCTTTCTCATCACGTTTTCCAATGTCACCATTTTGTAATGCCTTTCACTTTAGAATCAAATGTACGTAAAATTTTTGCTTGCTGATGTAGGTAGCTTATACTATTAATAACAATATCAAGACATCATTAGACAAGTGTGATAGTTCTTCGTTCAATATCCTTTGCAATTATCTCTGCTACAGGTCTCCAGTCATGAGAAAATGTTGGAGGGTAAGGTGCCTCAAGGCATCAAGGGGTCGCTTGGCTTGTTATCCATCAGCATGGACATAAGAGGTATTTTCTTGAATTGAAACCATTAGGTCACCCATAAAATGTTTTGTTTCCCATAGTCTTCCCTGTCATGAAAGTGGGTTGGTTGGTCAGGCCAAAATACAAACTTAATTTAAAAAAACAAACAAACAAAAAAAAAAACAAGAAAAAGAAAATTGACCGAGGGGCCTGAGTCAGTTGTGTGTTGATGATTATTATATAATAATTTACTTAGTTTACACCAAATTGCATTATCTATATTTTTAACAGATGCTCGCCGAATGCTCCTCCAAACTATGGAAATCCTGGCTGAGCCAGACAATCCAGCACGTGATCTGCTGACATCAGCACTTAAAGTGCTTGACAAGGCTCAACATACCATCAACGAAGAGGTGAAAAAAATAAAATGTCTGTTCTTTTTTGTTTAAATATTACTTAGTAAGGCTCCAAGGCTCAATAATTATAATTAATATGTGAATAATTATTATGTGAATACAGAGATAGCATTGAGGAATAAATAGCATATTAAGTGCATGTTATAATTTTGTTTTGTGCCATTTCCCTGAGCTTTGAAACTAATTGGAAATAAAATGGTGTTTCAAAACACACTTGTTGCATTAATTCTATGTTGGTATCTTTTCTCTGACAGCAATGAACCTTGCTGTTTTCTGCTTTTAAAGTAGTCTTTCCCTATTTCTCGTCCCCGTGGACGTTTTTATCAATGAGACAGCATTTATCAATCAAGTGTTGTACCACTTAAACCAAAGTAATCACTCCAGACAGTCACAAAAGACAGAAAATGCAGCTGTACCAATACTAATATTAATTTGAACTTACATGAAATCTATGCCTGTTAAAAAGGTTTCCTCAGTGGCTGTCCAAGAGCCAAGTGATACTCTGGGGTGTGAGGGTATGGTCACTGAGTCTCCATGTGATGCTGTGGCTACACAGGAAACACCTAGTGTTGAAGACGTTGTGGTCACTGAGGATCCATGTGATGTTGTGATGTCACCTACCCATGAAGGCGGTGTGGTCACTGACTCTCCATGTGATGCTGTGGCTACACAGGAAACACCTAACATTGTAGACATTGTGGTTACCAAGTCTCAATGCGATGTCGTGGCTAGACAGGAAACACCTGCTGTTGAAGGCAGTGTGGTCACTGAGTCTCTATGTGATGCTCTGGCTACACAGGAAACACCTAACGTTTTAGACATTGTGGTCACCAAGTCTCAATCTGATGTCGTGGTTACACAGGAAACACCTACCGTTGAAAGCGGTGTTGTCACGGAGTCTCCATGTGATGTCGTGATGTCACCTAATATTGAAGACTGTGTGGTCACTGAGTCTCCATTTGATGCTGTGGCTACACAGGAAACAGCTCCCCTTGAAGACTTTGTGGTCAGTGAGTCTCTATATGATATCATCCCTCTACAGGAAACACCCAATGTTGAAGACGGTGTCATCACCAAGTCTCTATATGATACTGTGGCTACACAGGAAACACCCAACATTGATGACGGTGTGGTCATTCAGTCTCTATGTGATGCTGTGGCTACACAGGAAACACCCAACGTTGAAGACAGTGTGGTCACCAAGTCTCTATGTGATGCTGTGGCTGCACAGGAAACACCCAATGTTGAAGACGGTATGGTCACTGAGTCTCTATGTGTTGCTGTGGCTAGACAGGAAACACCCAACGTTGAAGATGGTGTGGTCACTGATTCTCTATGTAAAGCGGTGGCTACACAGGAAGCACCCAACGTTAAAGAAGGTGTGGTCACCGAGTCTCTATACGATGCTGTGGCTACACAAGAAACACCCAACGTTGAAGACGGTGTGGTCACTGCGTCTCTATGTGATGCTGTGGCTACACAGGAAACACCTAACATTGAAGACCTCGTGGTTATCGAGTCTCAATGTGATATCCTGGCCACTCAGGAAACACCTAATGTTGAATGTATTGAAGACAGTGTAGTCACCGAGCCTCTATGTGATGCTGTGGCTGCACAGGAAACACCCAACGTTGAAGACAGTGTGGTGACTGAGTCTCTATGTAATGCCGTGGCTACACAAGAAGCACCCAACGTTGAAGACAGTGTGGTCACTGAGTCTCTATGTGATACTGTGGCTACACAGAAAACACCCAACGTCGAAGATGGTGTGGTCGCTGAGTCTCTATGTGATGCTGTGGCTACACAGGAAGCACCCAACGTTGAAGACGGTGTGGTCACTGAGTCTCTATGTGAGGCTGTGGCTACACAAGAAACACCTAATGTTGAAGACAGTGTGGTCACTGAGTCTCTATATGATGCTGTGGCTACACAGGAAACACCTAATGTTGAAGAGAGTGTGTTCACTGAGTCTCTATGTCATGCTATGGCTACAGAGGAAACACGTAATGTTGGAGACGGTTTGGTCACAGAGTCTCTATGTCATGCTGTGGCTACACAGGCAACACCCAACATTGAAGACGGTGTGGTCACTGAGTCTCTGTGTCATGCTCTGGCTACACAGGAAACATGCAACGTTGAAGACGGTGTGGTCACTGAGTCTCTATGTAATGCTGTGGCTACACAGGAAACACCCGACGTTGAAGACAGTGTGGTCACTGAGTCTCTATGTCATGCTTTGGCTACACAGGAAACACCTAATGTTGGAGACGGTGTGGTCACTGAGTCTCTATGTGATACTGTGGCTACACAGGAAACACCCAACGTTAAAGACGGTGTGGTCACTGAGTCTCTATGTGATGCTCTGGCTACACAGGAAACACTCAACGTTGAAGACGGTGTGGTCAGTGAGTCTCTATGTAATGCTGTTGCTACACAGGAAACACCCAACGTCGAAAATGGTGTGGTCACCCAGTCTCTGTGTGATGCTGTGGCTACACAGGAAACACCAAACGTTGAAGACGGTGTGGTCACTGAGTCTCTATGTGATGCTGTGGCTACACAGGAAACACCCAACGTTGAAGACAGTGTGGTCACTAAGTGTCTATATGATGCTGTGGCTACGCAGGAAACATGCAACGTTGAAGACGGTGTGGTCACTGAGTCTCTATGTGATGCTGTTGCTACACAGGAAACACCCAATGTCGCAGACGGTGTGGTCACCGAGTCTCTATGTGATGCTGTGGCTACACAGGAAACACTCAACGTTAAAGACGGTGTGGTCACTGAGTCTCTATGTGATGCTGTTGCTACACAGGAAACACCCAATGTCGAAGACGGTGTGGTCATTGAGTCTCTATGTGATGGTGTGGCTACAGAGGAAAAATCCAACGTTGAAGATGGTGTGGTCACTGGGTCTCTATATGATGCTTTGGCGACACAGGAAACACCCAACGTTGAAGACGGTGAGGTCACTGAGTCTCTATATGATGCTGTGGCTACACAGGAAACATCCAGCGTTGAAGACGGTGTGGTCACTGAGTCTCTAAGTGATGCTGTGGCTACACAGAAAACACCCAACGTTGAAGACGGTGTGGTCACTGAGTCTCTATGTGATGCTGTGGCTACACAGGAAACACCTAATGTTGAAGACGGTGTGGTCACTGAGTCTCTGCGTCATGCTGTGGCTACACAGGAAACACCCAACATTGAAGACGGTGTGGTCACTGAGTCTCTATATGATGCTGTAGCTACACAGGAAACACCTAATGTTGAAGACGGTGTTGTCACTGAGTCTCCGTGTCATGCTGTGGCTACACAGGAAACACTCAAGGTTGAAGACTTTGTTGTCACTGAGTCTCTCTCTGATTTCCTGGCTACACAGGAGACACCCAATGTTGAAAACGGTGCGGTCAGCGAGTCTCTGTGGGATGTCGTGGCTACCCAAGAAACACCTAGCGTTTTAGACGTTGCGGTAACCGAGTCTCTCTGTGATGTCGTGGCTGCACAGGAAACACCTAAGTTTGAAGACGGTGTGGTTACTGAGTCTCTATGTGATGCTCTGGCTACACAGGAAACACCTAACATTGGAGACGTTGTGCTCACCGAGTCTCAGTGTGATGTCGTGGCTAGACAGGAATCAACTGACGTAGACGATGCGGTCACCAAGTCTCAATGTGACATCGTGGCTACACAGGAAACACCTAATGTTGACGGCAGTGTGGTCACTGAGTCTCAATGTGATGTCGTGGGTACACAGGAAACACCTAGTATTGAAGGCAGTGTGGTCACTGAGTCACTATGTGATGCTGTGGCTACACAGGAAACACCTAACGTTGAAGGGAGTTTGGTCACCGATTCTCAATGTGATGTTGTGGGTACACAGGAAACACCTACTGTTGAAGGTGTGGTGGTCACTGAGTCTCCATGTGATGTCGTGGCTACACAGGAAACACTCAATGTTGAAGGTGATGTTGTCACTGGGTCTCTATGTGATGCTGTGGCTACACAGGAAACACCCAACGTTGAAGACGGCGTGGTCACTGAGTCTCTATGTAATGCTGTAGCTACACAGGAAACAGCCAACGTTGAACACTGTGTGGTCACTGAGTCTCTATGTGATGCTGTTGCTACACAGGAAACACCCAACGTCGAAGATGGTGTGGTCGCCGAGTCTCTATGTGATGCTGTGGCTACACAGGAAACACCCAACGTTGAAGACGGTGTGGTCACTGAGTCTCTATGTGATGGTGTGGCTAAACAGGAAACACCCAACGTTGAAGACGGTGTGGTCACTGAGTCTCTATATGATGCTGTGGCTACACAGGAAACACCCAACGTTGAAGACGGTGTGGTCACTGAGTCTCTATGTGATGGTGTGGCTAAACAGGAAACACCCAACGTCGAAGACGGTGTGGTCACTGAGTCTCTATATGATGCTGTGGCTACACAGGAAACACCCAATGTTAAAGACGGTGTGGTCACTGAATCTCTATGTAATGCTGTAGCTACACAGGAAACACCCAACGTTGAAGACGGTGTGGTCACTGAGTCTCTATATGATGCTGTGGCTACACAGGAAACACCCAACGTCGAAGATGGTGTGGTCGCCGAGTCTCTATGTGATGGTGTGACTACACAGGAAACACCCAACGTTGAAGACGGTGTGGTCACTGAGTCTCTATGTGATGGTGTGGCTAAACAGGAAACACCCAACGTCGAAGACGGTGTGGTCACTGAGTCTCTATATGATGCTGTGGCTACACAGGAAACACCCAACGTTGAAGACGGTGTGGTCACTGAGTCTCTATATGATGGTGTGGCTACACAGGAAACACGCAACGTTGAAGACGGTGTGGTCACTGAGGCTCTATGTGATGCTGTCGCGGCGACACAGGGAACATCTTCAATCGAAGGCGATGTGGTCACTGGGTCTCTAAGTGATGTCTTGGCTACACAGGAAACACCTAACAGTGAAGACGGGGTGGTCATTGAGTTGCCATGTGATGGAACGAACATCAAGGGAAGTGAGATCAATGCATCCATCCATGATGTCAGTGCAGCGTCAGCAGTGAAATCTTCTGAGGGTAAAATTGCTTTTCTATGGAAGCTGATTTTTTACAGAATATACATTAGTAATTAGTACTCCTGGATAATATTTATTAGTACACATTTTTGTCAATAATAATGAAGGTTAGGGTTTGTATACCTTAGACACTAAAGTAGCATTTTGATTCTTATTTTGGTATTTTTTTAAAAAAAACTAAGGAAGCAAGTTTCAAGTTATTCTCACTGGATGTGAACGAGCCAGTTAAAGCTGTGGAGACTGAACTAAAAACTACCATTGAGATGGCAACATTTGATGTTGTCGTCCTCAATGGTAGTTGTTAGTCTGATGTCAGTAAAACCTGAGAACTTTTTTAAGGCAGTGGGTGAGTCTCACGGGATGTTCATGCGCTGGCAAAAGCCCTGGTTACAAGAGAAGCAACTCGTTTCGATGAGCGTGAGATCTCTGGATCTCTAAATGATGACGGTGAATTCTCTTAACTCAATCTGCCAATGGCAGTGGAAGAGAGTTTTTACGATAACTTCGTATTATTGTGAGAAGATTCTCTCACTGATATTGTGGCAACAGGATAAACATTCAACGTGAATCCTCAGATTGTTTGCCTCATGGCAGCTGGGGGTTTTTGACCTTGGCATGGTGAACTTGAACTGTTGGTTTCTGAAATTTAATTATTCGGCTCCATTAGCCGTTGGCTATAAGTACTGAAAGAGGGTAAACAAAGGTTATTTATTCTTAACTTCTAATAGCATTTTAATCCTGATTTTACTATCGACAGTGGAAGGAAGCTTCTCCAATACAAGCTTAAGATCAAGGAAACGAAGGAGCAGCTCTGACAACTCCACCGAGTCTTGTGCACACCGCAGCAGGAACTGCTCTGAAATCTGGGAGCCCCTGAGAAAATCAAGACGGTTGTCGGAGAACACCGCTAACCTTTGTCAGATTGACACTTCAGAACCTGATGAGGTCAATGTCACAGACAAAACAATGGAGTCCTCTGAGGAGAATGTGACTCTGTCTGTGGAAAAACGTCCCTCACTGGATCTGTGTGGGTTAACTGAAGGATTAGCTGGAGAAGAAACAACAGCCATGAATGTGAGTGAGATCAATACATCCACATGCAACGTCACTGCAGCCCAAGAACTTGCAACGGTAGAGGAAATGTCCTCTGAGGACAATGGGACTGTGCCTATGAAAAAGCGTTCCTATCTGGATCTGCGTGAGTTAACTAGAGGAGTAGACATAGAGGACACAACTGTCATTGATGCAACTGAGATCACTACATCCACAGGCAGCGTCACTGCAGCTTCAGAACTTGCAACGGCAGAGGAAAAGTCCTCTGGGATTAACATCACTCTGCCTTTGGAGAAGTGCTCCGCTCTGGATGTAGACGAGGCAAGTGAAGTCTTGTGTACACAGGAATCAGGGAACGTTTATGAAGGTGAGATCACGGCATCCAGCCACAGTGCCATTACAGGCCAAGACCTTTTTATTACCGCGGACGAGTACTTTGAGGGTAATGTCACTCTGTCTATGGAAAAGGTTTTCTTAGTGAATGAAGCTGACCATGCTGAAGCCATTGCAACGGACGAAACAACCAGCAAGGATGAGATTGAGATCGCTGCATCGATAAATGATGTCAGTGCAGCTCCACAAGTTTTCTTTGGAGTTGACGGGTCTGCTGAAGATATCACTCTGCCTGTGGAAAAGGTTTCCTTAGTGGATGAAGCTGACCATGCTGAAGCCATTGCAACGGACGA